TATATATATATATATATATATATATATATATATATATATATATATATGTTCTATAGTATATTGCATTTTATAAAGTGCGCCTACCGCAGCTCTCTGCAGCCCGCCGTCGCTTACAGCATCTTAGTTTTCATTTGTTTGTTTAATGAAATGTTGCCTTATTTTGTTGAGGATAAAGTATAAGATGCATTGCTCGCTTGAATGAAGCCCGCGCCGCGTCGCGTAGCGTCTACGCGATATGAATCAAGCCTAAGTTCGTCCCGTCACTTGATATCGTCACTTGATATTATAATAAAAAAATTATAAAATATAAATAGATTATGTCGACTAGTTAGCATTTAACTCTAACTGTTGTGCAGCATTTGACATCTTGTGCTGAACCGTTTAAATAATTTACTTATTTGTGGACACCATTGCAATTTAGCATCTAAAGTTAACACCTATAAATACAACTGTATCTATAAGGTTCAAAAAACTGCATGTCTAACTCAGTTAATTACATGTACATTTTTTGAGGCAATTAGTGAGAAAACTTACTTGCATTTCATCCGGGTCGTACCTTTGCCTACAGGGTTCGCAAATATAGCTATATCTGAGTCTAAATGACGCTGTAAGCAGTCTTACGGCAATGTACGCATTTAAAGCCGCCATAGCTAAGTTGTATGGTACCAGGAGCCACGTTAATTTGAATGGTTGACGATTTTTCATAATCTTAGGGCCGATCCATACAATAAACAAGTACAGTAGCGTGTAGATAACTGTAGGGACTGGAGAGTCGACTAGCGGCCATCCTTTTGTTCGATTATCTGTGGAAACAAAATTACATTTACGTTAATTTCAGTTTTACGCGCAGACAGCATTATTAAGACCCATTTTCCACTAAGCGACTAGTCTACTAAGCGGACGGCTGGCCGCGCGCGTATTCTATTTATACAGATAAGCCATATACCATACCCACTGACTGGCTCGGCAGTCACCGCGACTTCAAAAGAACACGCGACTCGGACAGCCGCGCGCGACTCAAGTTCTGCATATTATTACATCGCAATTCCCACTATACGACTAGACACGCGCGACCGAACCAGTTTTTCTTCAGTATTTAAACAGTCTCTCATTTTAGCTGTATTACCCGCTATAAACAGCCTCAGCTTTGATAACAATTCTTCAAAGGATTCTATCGACATTCGTGTGTAATTGAAAAATTTCGTGTCGTGTTCTCGTAACTCATTATAGAACAAATTATATGCACCTTTTGTAGTGCGTTCTGTTGTAGTGCGTACATGTTATTTCTTCGACGTCCATTTTGTAAATGAGCTGTTTGTAGAATACAGTAGCGCGCGACCAGTTGCACACGCAGCCGCTGTTGAAACTAGCCGCTGCGGCTGCGGTTGCTCGCGGCTAGTCGCGTAGTGGAAAACGACTCTTATTATCAGAATTCAAATTTATTAATACAAAGATCGAACACTGAGAAAAATTTAGGAATTTTTTCTGAGTGTTCGAACTTTGTATTAATAAGTAGAACAAACTAGTGCAGTAATTTCACAAAAAATAATTGAATATCAAATCAATAAAAATGTAGAATTCAAATTTCTTAGATATTAATTACAGATACATTCGAAATTTTACACATCATACAAAAATTACTTACATACATGAGTGAAATACATTGCAACAAAATTGTAGTAAAACGATACAACGCAACAAAATTATAGAAAAACGGAAAACAAAACAAAAATACAGCAAAATAAGACAACACAATAAAAAAACCATAATGCGTGGAGTCAAATAAACCACACTAATGTCAATTCGCGCGAACGCATCATTTCTTACCTAACTTATTTTCTATCAACAAAATTAAACATCTTATTACGTCTTTCGTGTCTACGTATCCCCGTCCTTTTACATAAGCTTTGATTATAGTGACTCTCCCTACTGACCCATAGGGTATACGAAATAATACTAGGGCACTATAACCTGTGCAGCAAGCCCGAACAGGGACCTCTTCAGTCAGGTCCTGACCCCAGATCAGCCCGTTTGTACAGAGTTCATCCGGGTCTCAAAAGACTTGGGTGAGCTGCCACGAACACGCCCTCCCTATTATCCAGGTAGGTACCGGAGTTATTGGTACGCTTTTAGCAATATATGTATATAATTAATTAATTTAAATTCAGTATGGTTCGTGTTAGCACGAACTGACACTAAGTGTGATGTATAAACAATAGAGGTAGGATGCAGGCCGCCTGCTGCCGCATTTACGATGCCCACAAGCGCACGTTAACCAACCACACTTCATCTTACTGGGTTAGGCTTAACTCACACTGGCGCAGAGTCGAAACGTCGCGACGCGTCATGATTTTTGCCAATAGCATACTCATCTCTATTTTTACATGATTAAGGTACAAATTTGTGTAATGCAAAAGTAGAACCGCGCGTCTTGGTTAAAGTCGCGCTGTTTCGTGCGTCGCCGTGCGTTTCTTGCGCGCAGTGACGCGTCATTCGCCGACCACACTATGGGTCGTATTCCAGAACTCAAGTCAAGTCAAGTCAGTGAGCACTGAAAATCATACTCAAGTCCTTGCCGTTAGGGTCGTATTCCAGTGCTTGAAATTATACTCAAGTCTGCTCAAGTCCTGACTCGGGCATTGAGTAGAGTTCTGGAACTCTTAGATCCAGGCGCGCTAATGTGAGCGTCGTCACGCGAAGTCACGCGTGGCCATGCGTTGTTGCGGAAAAACAGGACGCGACGCGACGCTTCGACTCTGCGCCAGTGTGAGTTGAGCGTTATCTTTGTACTAAGTAGTGTAGTGTAAACGCCATATTAAGTAAATCTATGACGGCAGTAACATTGTAACGGATTTAATGAACTTACCCGACAGTGATAGTGTCCATAAATAATAGTCATACGTCTCTTTTAGAACACTCTGTGTTGTATTTACAACAATATTCGCCATTTTCTATTGGAGTATGTCTGAAACAAATAAAACAGGTTATTTATAACTTGTTACTTTTTTGTTGATGTCGGCCCGCCCGCCCTCGCCATTACGACATCATCGGTGTGAACTGAAATGTGTCGCACACGCACGTTAACTAACGAAACGTTGTTTTATTGAGCTATCTATGGACAAAGTAGTGTTGATGTCACAGCTGTCACAAAGCGGCCGTTGGAGAAAGAGTTGTATTATTTTCCTATCATGTGTAAAAAATATATATTTTGAATTTGGAAACTTCTTGCATAATTGAATTGCTGTATTAAAACAACTCGCAAATCTAAAAATATGTTCCAAACGATTGATTGTCTTGTACCCGACCGAACTTCTTTTATTGGTTAATGAGTTGTCCAGTGTCATGAAACTTCTTTCGCGGAAATTGATATTTTGTTGACATCGCAATATTTTGTTTTTGCTAGATAACTTTTCACTAAAAAAGAACTTTTTTGTTTTAAAGTGTTACGTTGTCTATGGTCATTGTAAAAATAACACTTAAAAGTCTTTGCGCACGACGTATTTTATACGCGCTGACGGTTTACGCTGTAGTTAATCGATTCAAACGCGCACAAACATCGCATTATAAGCAAGAAGCTTTTATACTCCACCGGAATTTACACTTAGAATATCATGTAATTGCTTCATTTCAAAAAGTAACTGAAATTAACAAACAAAACTAAAATTAAAACTATCTCTTGTCAAAATA